TTCGTGCAGTAGGCCTTCCCTTCCCCTGGCTGCCGGCACCGGTTTTCCTGTGGCACCTGGGACCCAGGCCTGCGCTCCGGCCTGAGCCGCCTTCAAGCCTTCACTGCTGTGGCCGGAGCCACCTTCAGTCTTCACTCTGCCGCTTCACGCCTACGTATGCAAATTAACCACCATCTTTGTTGGCGGTTAATTTGCATATTTCACTCGTTAGCCAGTGGGAGGCATAGCGAAGGTACGGTCAATTACCATGTGTGTCTATTATTAGATAGGATATTTAAATGCCATTTAACAAAGAAAAATCAACCAAAAAAATGAGTTCGTGTGTCACCTCTGACACGCATGTCATAGGTTTGCCATCACTGTTCTATGGTTAGAGCATCAGCCCACACACCAAAGGGTTGAGGGTTCAATTCCCAGTCAAGGGCACATAACTTTGTTGCAGATTCTATCCCCAGCCTTGGTCAGGCATGTGTGGGAGTCAACCAATCAATGTGTCTCTCTCACATTGATGTTTTTATTTTCTATCTCTCTCCCATCCCTCCCTCCCTTTTGCTCTCTCTAAAAATCAATTGGAAAAATATCCTCAGGTGAGGATTAACCAAAAAGAAAAAGGAAAGGAACTTGTTCAAACAAAAACTATCATGTGCTTCTTGGGAACTTCCAATAACATATTCAATAATCCCATATACTTTGATTAATGCCTTTTGATAAGTTGATTTTTTTTAAATCTCAAATATTGAATCTACTAAAAGAGGAATTCAATATAATATTTCCATAAGTTAACACACTACTTCATGCTGATCTTAGAGTCCAAAGACAATTTACATTCAATGCTGTGGGGACTGACCTCCTTCCATAGATATTAAGTAGGGAGGTGTGATACACTACACTGTGTCTACAGGGTTGAAACTTGGCTGGCACAGCCTGCTGATGTCCTTTGCAGAGAAGTTAAAAGGCAATTCATAGTCTATTAGAAAAATCTGAAAAGCAGAGAGATAAAAACAACACAGTGATATAAGCTAAATGCAAAATTGATAATGATGACCACAGAGCTGGAGTAGCAGCTGTGATGAGTGTAGACTTTTGAGTATAGTTCTGCTCAGTTACCCTGTGCATGTTTATTTCTAAAGATAATTCTTAATTAGTTTTGGTGACAGAATGCTACAAGAGTACGGAAAACAAATCCGCAGAAAGGTCTAAAACCCAACTTTAAGGAAGATTTTAAATTTCATCACTAACAAGCCAGACATGTTTACAAAGGCCTGTACCAGCAGACTTTCTGGAAATGCTTGTTATTTAGCATCTGATAAAGGTGCTAATGTGCATTTAAATGTTTTCAAGTCAAGGTAACAAGCCACAGCAGAAATGCACCTAATAATATGTACCTGAAATAACTAAGACTTTTTCATAATACTTTCGGTCAACTATATATTTCTACTCACCTCTAGCAAAAGGAAAATTGGGACCAGCACATTGCACGGCTGTTTGTTGATTATTCATGCTATTTGAATTCTGACCCCAAACATGTCCTTCAGTGAACGATAAAAAAACAAACCAAAAACACAAAAAGTCTTCCTCCAGAAATAGATTACACACTGGCCTCTCCTGGTCCCGTGGAACTGAAGTGACAAGCACCAGGGAAAAAAGCAGCACCTCTGCCAATACCAGGAAATAGCCCCATTCTCTCTAGGAGGGCAGGGCCGGCATGAATAATCGCTACCTCACTTTTGCAGCACAAACAAGAAATGAAATTGCTCCTTTCCCGACTAATCACAAAGCGAATGGTTTGTGCTCCTGGAGCAACTCCCCAGATGATTTTGAATACATTTCTGTATATACATGTCACAGCATGCATCCTAACACTGTCAGACTGTGATGGTGGTGGTTACAACGCCTCTTCCATCCAGGAGGGCTTCTCTCATTCGCTTAGGCTGGGTTAGATGCTCTTCAACATTTTTCGCCTACTGAGACCTGAAGGATGAGCAGCTAGTTGCTGGCTGGACAGAGAGGGAGAACAAATACCAGCTTGGCTGCACTGTGGTGTAATTTCCTCTCCATTCACCTGGCTGCTCATTTGTCAACATGAGGAGTAATAATACCTCACTGTCATGCTTATTGTAAAGATTAGAAATAGTGCAGGGAACTTGGTATGGGGGCTTCATCATTGGTAGTGGCTGTTAATGAAAATTACGTTCATTTTGTGAGTTTGGCTTTAACAGTAGTCTACCGTATCTAGGCAACGTTCCAGGATATTAGCATCATTTTTCATTCTCTATTCAAGCACCACTTTGTTGAGTTATGAAACACTACTCATAACCTTCTCTAGCCTATCAGCCTGAAAATTAAAATCTATGTCTGTGTTATAATAGAGGCATTTTCTCCATTTGAAGACTACTGGTCCTCTAATAGGTCATTCTCTAGGACTAAAATTCTGATATTTTATGATGAAGAGGGCCATTTCTACCCTTTCCTATGTTCTACTTGGTTGTTAGGTACAGTGTTTTCTATTGCCCCGTATTACTTATGTTCTGAAATTACTATAATTATGCATTGTAATTGCAAAGGCTGAGCTAAAACATCAAGTACTAGTCTTATGAGTTCTTTTTAAAAATCTACAGTGCATCTTCCGTCTGAGAAGAATTCAACATAGCTGGCTGATTTATCAGCAAGGCTGCTGGCTACAAACATGATGATGCTATGGAGCTCTGATCTAGCAGTTAGTTCTCTGTGCCAAAGGCTCTCCACCGGTTGCCATGGCCCCGGGGTCACTGACAGGCTGCTACTGTAGACCACCTGAGCACCCATGAAACAAAAGAATACAGAGCCAAATGTAACTTCCATATTGTTCAAGTTCCCAATAAACAGATGACGAAGGCAGGGTACAGAGTCAGCTTGCCAAGATGGAGTAAATAGCAATAAAGACCTGCCGAAACCGGTTTGGCTCAGTGGATAGAGTGTCGGCCTGCGGACTGAAGGGTCCCGGGTTCGATTCCGGTCAAGGGCATGTACCTGGGTTGCGGGCATATCCCCAGTGGGAGATGTGCAGGAGGCAGCTGATCGATGTTTCTCTCTCATCGATGTTTCTAACTCTCTATCTCTCTCCCTTCCTCTCTGAAAAAAATCAATAAAATATATTTAAAAAAAAAAATAAAGACCTTTTCAATTAAGACATCGCATGATCTCTTGGAAGCAGGAACAGCTACCTCGCGACAGCACTCAAGATGTCACGACTGAAATTAAGGCCCCAGGAATGGGCTTTTTCCACGGTTTTCTTTCTCTCTAGGACTTAAGGGTTCAATGCCTCGGTCCCAACTCTTTAATACCCAGGGATAACCTTTGCTCCAAGGTCCACAGGAAAGGTAGATTCAGGTTGGAGTCCTTGCTCCCCTCAATTCAGTCACCTAGATATTCCTTGAAGTGGCCCAGCCCTGCAGAAAGATCTGATGAATTATAGGGACTTGAGAGTGTATATGTTACCATGGTTACTGTCCTTCACAAGTGTGATGTCACTTCCTTTTGCCTTGTAGTCTGGGGGGAAGGAACTATAGGAATGATAACCAAATGTGGGCTGGCGGGGGGGTGGGGGGGAGGTTGTTTCATCTTTCCACTGTCAGTAGTGAAGGTTCTAGTCATAGCCACTTACTGACAGCAGGACCTTGGGAAATTTTAAGTAAAAGAGGGATTTGGATTACATTGTCCTAAGGTCCCTTCTAATTTAAAAAATTCTGTGGTCCCTTAATTTTACTTGGTAGGGAAAGCATTCCACTCTTCCAGGTTAAACAGGCAAACATATACACAATACCTAATATATAAGATTTTATTATTTACGCTGTGCATCTTTGAATGGCTGACCCAAAGCAAGGGAAGTTAGAGCACAACCGTGTTAGGCTTTGAGCCACCTTCACCATTAGGAGCAGGGCTGTGAACCAGAAGTATGCAATTGCAAGAAAACTCCATTCACTCAGCTCCTAATGAGACATGAGGCATTAGCCTCTATTCTTTTTTCAGAGCAATTAAGATAAAATGAGGGAAAGAGATTAAAAATGTAGGTTTCCTTGGAGCAGAAACTCTTATGGGGATTGTTCATTGGTTAAAGCCCTGTGGGAAGGAAAGGACAATGTGAAGGAAAGGGTGACAGAAATGAATAAGCTGTGACTTTAGAACAATGGTCTTTTACTCCCTGGTCCCCAACCCCCTACTTGATCTCAAAGAAAATGCTTGGGAAAGGACACTAACTCCCTCAGGTCAATGGGATCAGGCTTGGGTGTTGAATTACTTCTCACACCTAAAACAAGAAATGTCCTAATTCCCAATAACCCAATCAATCCTTTCTCTGGCTGGAAATTTCCCTGAAGTATGCTCAGTGTTTAGGTACGTGATTCACACTTTTTGGTCAGAAACTCATTTATTAAAAACCAAGCGTTCTCCTATTAGTACGTGTTATTCCTTGACATTGCATTCTTCCTCCCCCTTGGCCTCAGCTGCAAGAGACAGTCTAGAAACTTCAGCCAGGTCCCCAGGAGCCCAGACTGATCTCTAGTTGGTGGCTGTGAACTTGCACAGAGACTTCCTTTAAGAAGAGTGGTCTTCAAATCCACAGTCCACAGATTAAACTGACATTTAATGATAAACAACTGCTATATTGTTTATTTGAGCCAGTTCCACGATACAAAATAAAACTCCCTTATAAATGGAATATACACTTAAGGGAAAATCCTTTTTACATTTGTCCCTATAATATTGTATACTCATTCAATTACAAAATGCCAAGAGGACTTTTAAAAGGCTTTAATGTTTGTCCTTTGTCTTCTAAGTCAGAGAGTGAAAAAAAATGAATTCATTACTGCTTTGAATCCTTAAGGCTAGATATTTCACTCTTTTGCCTCAGAAGAGAAAATGAGGTCTTTAAATGACCCGAATACGAACAACTCACATTCAAGGTGCTGGCTCCACAGTCTGTATTTATACTTTATGACATTTGACCCAACTTTAAAGCCTACCTCCTTCTCTCTCCTTCTCATCCTCTTCTTCTTTCAGCAGCTTGCCAACGGAATTATACCACTTGAACTGTGGATCAGGGATGCCATTAACACTACAATTAATCAAGGCACTGTTCCCTTCCTTGACTATGATATGGTCAGTTCTGGCAATGATTACGGGCATAAAGCCCAAGACCATGTCAGTGCCATTTAAAGTGCTGTTAGTCATACTCTTTGCAGTCACTAGAGTGGATACTAGGATTAAAAAGGGCACAGAAGGTAGAAAGCACACAGGCAGATGGCTCTTCAATCGATCCATCTTCTTTGTTTGCTCTGTAAGGCAACAGAGACGGTTTGCCAATGGAATCTTCTATCAGACAGCACTCTGTTCAGAGCAGGCCATGGGACAAACCTGACTTGGATCCATAAAGCTGGTTCTTGATTAAGAACCTGTTAAAACAAACAAACCACACACATAAATATTAGCATTCATACTTTAAAAATATTATTTATAAAATGTTAGAAACCCAGCTAAAATACCTACAAAATGTTTAAACAATACACAAATTCAGATGTTCCAAATGTTGTTACATTTTTTTCACAGGAATCATAACAAATATTATTTACTACTGAAATATGTAGCTATTAATAGGAACAAACATATATATTTCTTATAAATGTATCACATTACTTCAGAAAGTTCAAAAACTGATTCAGGCTTCTTTTGTTTAGCATGACAAGGTCTCTTTCCACTCCATCACCTGACTTCATTGTGGATGACCTGACTGTTCACCTCAGTGGTTCCTTAACCAATTTTCTTCCAGTGAACACAGCCCTGCCAGCATGGGGAAGGGCTCCACCAGAATCAGTCTGGCATTCTCCTAAGTTCCCATTATGGCTTCTGGGATACTCCTTCCCTTTCATGCAATTGCCCATGTTCCTTTGAGCTTTATGGCATCCAACTCTGTTTTATATTTTTGTTATCTATTGACTCATGATCACTCACTGAATTCCCTAGTTTCTTCATCTGCCTCCCAGAGGCTGGTGAACATCAGTATGTATGTTGTGACATGATGGGTGGCAGTACTTCCATGATCAAAGATCTAACTTTCACCTACATCTCTATCCTCCGTTTGACCCACTAATCATACAGCCACACTCTAGAACTTTCATCTGTCCAAATTCTAAATTCTGAAGTTCCAAGTAATTCTGAAGTTTTAAATAACTATCTTGAACTTCACCCTACCATTCCTCCAGATCTCTTATTCCTCTTACTGGACTTTCTAGGCCTTCTATTTTCTCTCAGTCTCTATCTTCTTTCCTCCCCCTTTCATGTTCCAATTCTGTCTCAGTCTAGACCCAATCATGTAGACCACAATCCCAAACATCTTTACCCTTTGTCCTCTGTTGCCATGACTCTGCCAGCATATACTGGAGAGAATCATACAACCACATTATTGCCAAATTAAGGAACTATTTACAACCCCAGCCAGGGCTCTGGTGATTTCTGGCATTCTGGTTATCAGGGTTTCATAGGTTCAGTAGCTGCTTTTCACAATGCTATGGACATCTTCAGCTTTCAAATCAAGCATCTTAGCCCAGTGTTATTCCTACTGTTCTCAAAAGGCACCTTTCTCATACTAAGAATTGTAGGCATGAATTCCCAATTTCTTTTCCAAAAAAAATCCTGCATTTTGCCCTAAATTCCTCCCCTGCCAATTACTTTAAATACCCAATTCTGTATTTTGCCTGTACTTTATTGAAACAGCTCTTGCTGAAGTCACCAGTCACTCCTCATTGCCAAGTTTTCAGTCTTTCTCTTGCCAAATCTCTGTGGTGATCACCACTATTAACTCTTTTTTATTCAAACTCTCTCTATGACTGCTGCACTCTACTCCCCCTGCCTGCTCTCACTATTCTGTACCAGTTCCTCTTCTTCCTCATCATTGAAAATTAGTAACCCCCAGTGTTTCATCACTGGCTCTCTTTTCATTTTATCCACATCTCTTCCTAAGGTTCCATTCTCATGCCTTTATTATCACCTCCAACCTAACAGCTCTCAAATCCATGCTCTCAGACCTGACTTTTTTCTAGGTTTCAGACTGGTGTTACTAACTGTCCATAGGACATCCCTGCCAGAATGTTCTGAAGGTAACTCAAAATTAACATTCCCAAACAAACTCATCTGCTGAACATGCTACATTGCCTGGTTCCTTATTTCAGCTTAGGTGGCACCACCCACACATGCATGCATGGGTATTAGTCCTGAATTCAACTGTTGCCCTCATTACCCTCAGAACGTCAGTAATTACATGCTGTTGATTTCACCCCTTAAATGTTGCTTGGATTGTTCCATCCTTTCAGTCTCCTCTGAGAGAGCCTTAGTTCAGGCCTCCCTATCTTCTTACCAGAAATGGTGTGGTAGCCTTCTACAGGATCTGCCTTCCATCTCTCCTCAGCTCCCAATCCAATCCTATAACCATTCTACAGCACAAATTATATGGTGCCATTTCTTTACTTAGCAACCTTCAATGCCTCTGCACTGTCTGCATTATAGAACCTGAATTCCTTACCCTTTTTATTCACTCAAAAAGTAATTATTGAACACCCACTATTAGGCAGACACTATTTTAGTCCTATAAATAGAAGAGTAGAGAAGACAGACCTTTCCTATTATGTGGAGATTATATTCTCGTGTGTTGGGGGGAAGCAAACAATAAATAAATGCCATGTGAATATAATTTCAACTAATGATGCATGCTTTGAAAAACACACCATGATGCACTTGAGTGATGAGTTAGGCAATTCAGGAGAGCTGTACTGAGGAGGTAGCTCCTGAGCTGGGGTGCTTTAGGAATCAGCCACACCTAGATCTGGGAGAAGAGCATTCCAGGAAGAAGGAACATAAAAAGCAAACAAGTGACAAGATGGGTCATGGAAGCAGGCAAGCTCAGTCCACCTAGGGCTTTGCAGGACAGAGTGAAGACTTTGGATTTTATCTAACATTCATTGGGATCTTCCAATGAATATGACTCCAAAGAATGTGATTTATTTTTGAAAATCAACTTTACTGTGGTATAACTTATAAACAATAAGTATATACCCATTTTGGGTATGCATTTTAATGGGTTTTGACAAATGTATACACCAATGTAACTACTATAATAAGATGGAGGACGTTTCAATAACTACCCAAAATTATCCTGTATCCCTTCCCAGTTGTAGTTTTTACACTGATCCATTCTAATTATTATTATTATTTTAATATATTTTTTATTGATTTCAAAGAGAGGAAGGGAGAGGGAACTAGAAACGTCAATGAAAGAGAGCCATTGATTGGCTGCTTCCTGCATGCTCCCTACTGGGGATCAAGCCCACAACTGGGGCATGTGCCCTGACTGTAAATCAAACTGTGACCTCCTGGGTTCATGGGTTGATGCTCAACTTGAGCCACACCAGCCAGACTATTCCGGTTATTTTTGTGTATGGCATGAGATATGGATTGAGGTTCATTCCCCCTCCCACTCTCAAATGGACATCCCGTTGTTTCAGCTCTGTTTGTAAAAAGACTATCTTTCTTTTCTTTTCTTTTTTTTCTTTTTTGGTTAATCCTCACGCAAGGATATTTTCCCACTGATTTTTAGAGCAAGTGGAAGACAGAGGAAAAGATAGAGAGAAATATCGATGTGAGAGAAACACATGGATTGGTTGCCTCCTGCACGCGCCCTAACCAGGGCCCGGGCCGGGGAGTAGCCTGCAACCGGGGTATGTGCCCTGGACTGGAATCGAGCCAGGACCCCTTCGGTCTGCAGGACAACGCTCTATCCACTGAGTCAAACCGGCTAGGGCAAAAAGACTATCCTTTCTACAATGGATTATTTTGCCTTCTTGTAAAAAAAAGAAAAGAGTCTATTTATAAATTCTTTATTCTGTTCCACTAATATTTATGTTTATCCTTATGCCAATACCGCATTAACCATACTATCTGCCTCATTTTTTTTTTTGGTATCTGCAGTGTCTGAATTTGTCCTTGACACTTTCAATGCTCAATGAATTGCTGAATGAATGAATCTCTCTCCAAAGGCAGAAATTATTATTCCAATCCTGTAGACAATAAAAGTGAAGAGGTACTAGGGGAGAGGGTGATAAATTAGCTTCAGACCATAGATTAGTTCATTGAGAAAGAGGAGTTTTCTTAGCGTTCTAGACGTCCACATTCCCGCCTAGACTAGGGTGCCTTCCTGCCCCAGGAAGGCCAGCACATTACTCCACCCACAGGAATCGTGTGGCTGACGGAGATAGCACAGGCGCCAGGCATGCCAGAGACCCTGCTATGACTGTGTAAATGTTTTCCTTTACTTGGCCAAATGCGGGGTTTCCTTTGAACAGGGAGTTTGTAAATGTGAACTATTCGATACAGAATGGTTGTGAAGAGCATGGCCTCAGGTTTTAGATAGACTGGGCCAGGATCCTGGATCTAGCCACCTTTATCGGCTGTGTTTTTCTGGCCAAGTCCTTACCAAGTCCAGGGCAATTATAATGATTCAGGGCTAAATGTCCACAAAGCATTTACATATTGCTCGGCTTGATAAACAGGAATTATCAACATAATGTACCAAGCATCCTTTATTGAAATCAGGCTTCTCAAGTTGATTTTTATTTTATCCTTCAAATTGTATCACTTAAAAGACAGACCTTATTTTTGGTTTTGTTTAAGACATTATTGATTGTCATTCGACCACCAGAAAGAATTATAAGCGATTTTCAGCACTGGGTCCTTGTGCAGGACTCAAGTGTGAAAATGTATGAGTTGCCCCGTTGGGCAGACGCTGCAGTGAGCATATTATGGGTACTGTAGCTGGGGTCACTCGTCTGGGACTCCCCGATGTGTAGGTCAGAGCAGATGCCCAACTAAATGCCTTGGGAGGGAATGAGAGGCAAGACAAAGTGGAGGATAGGTTCTAATAAATGTGCAGTCAGTATACTGCAGCATTTCCCCCGCCCTCACAATTAAAGAGCATGCACCGCATGGAAAGATCAAACTGATTAAAATGCATAACTCAAGAGCAGTTTTCAAACAAAGGCCAACCACCTTGGGTTATACTTTCAAACACATTGTGCTAGCAAGAAGAAAGAGAAGGGGATACTGCTTGATGTTCTAGTTTATTTTAATAATGTCGGTAGGAGCTTTGGGCTAGAAACAAAGTAACCCTTTCTGAAGCTGCATCTAGTTCCCTCAGAGACCTTGAGATGTACAGAGAAAGATTGTCACTCGAATGCAAGAATTTCTGTTAGCGAACTCAGTCCTCCCTCCCCCCATTCTCTCTCCTCCTTTTTCATTTTGAAAAGTTACTAAGATACAGAAAACATAATGTATAATTTATAGGTTGTTTGTATCAAAGCATGTTTATCCTAAACCTCTTTGCGAACATTTATTTTTGAAAATCAAG